AGCTGATGTGGCATTGAAAGCAGGCTGCTGAACAAGCTCATTTCCATCTTTCCAGGATGGAAACCTCCTTCATCTGCCTGCCGACCCGCTTCCTTAACGGATTCACAGAGCGTGGTGCTTAGGGGGCACCCAGAGAATGTTGGCTTGGGATAGAGATGTAGCATCAGTCCCACACGTCTAATGTCCACCTAGCCCTGGCCTCTCAAAAGGCTATGTGGAGGCTGTGCCAATGGCTGTGCTTCAGGCACAGAGCCTGTACTCGGGGCAAAGGGCATGGCCGAGTGGTAGAGCGCTTGCCCAACACTCTCAGAGCCATTCTGAGCACCACGAGGTTTGACTGGTTTTTAATATCTTTCCACCTGTCTGTTCACGCTCCCCAACAGCCTTCTGAGGCTTCTCACTACACACATTCTACAGATGAGGAAACAGTCTCAGTCAGGAAACCTGGTCTGCAGGCTACAGCAGCCTCTTCTCTCACTTTTCCCAGTGCTCTGGCAGCAGGAGGCAGCTGGCACAGCTGGCAGTGGGTCCCTGCTCCAGCGGGCAGCCAATGGGGTTATCATTTCTCTCTGGATGGCCAGGCTTCAGAAAGCACCCTTTGATCTCTGACTCAGGTGACCAACTGCCATGGTAACATGACTCCTAACAAAGTGTTCTGTAGTTTTTATTTGCACTCGTGTGTGTGTGTGTGTGTGTGTGTGTGTCTGTCCCAGGGCAACCTGAAATATTATATTCTGGAATCCTGGTCCCTCATTGACCAGAAACTCCACCTGTTAGGCTAGACTGACTGGCTCACAAGCCCTGCGGCCTCCCCAGTGCTGGGATTGCAAGCACAGCCTACCACACCCAACATTTGCAAGGTAGGCACTTCCGTGGTTGGTCATTTCCCAAAATCGTTTCGGTTTTTTGAAACATGATCCTGCTGCCTTTGCTTCCCCAGGGCTGGAGTTAGTCATGCACTGGCACCACCACCTTTAGATGCTCACCTCCTTAGAGCCTCCCTGGACCACATCTTCAAGAACTAAGTGTGTCCTCCAGTGTCTGATGCTGACCAATTCTGACCAGTGCCCCTGAACACTTCCAGGGCTACTCCTTCCTACTCTGTGTTGCGAGCGTGTGCGCGCACACACACTCAACCTATATTGTTCCTCAAGCTTGAAAGATGCAAGTTAGGTGCACCACCAGGGAGACACTTTGTTTTCTCAAAGGCCCTGGAATCAAAGATTTAAGGTCTTGGGTTTAGTGTGGAGATGGGATGGGAGTTCCCAGCTCAGTTGAATTGCAGCTGTAAGCCCTGTGTGAGGGGCAGGTCTCCAGGCTTCTGGAGAATCTTCCAGAAAAGTGGGCCCTGAAATCAGCCCCTATTTTTCCTCAGTGTCACCACAGAAAACCTCATGTGTTTGGAGCTGAGATTGAAACTGGGTTTTGTTTTCAAAGCACATCATGGCTTTTCACCTTGAAGCTGGAGTTCTTCCCCAGGTGGTCAGGACCTCACATTTCCTGGGCAGGCTGGAGTCAAAGCCTGGGGCAGAATCTGCTGGCCAAGGATGTGCCCCCCCCGCCCCCCCTCCCGCCAGTCTTTATTTTACTTAGAGTATTTTGTATGCTTTGTTTTTCTTATGTGTGTCTTATGTGCTTGTAAATTTGCTGGCAAAACAATAAATAAAAAAATAACAATTATTATTTTCTCCTCGGTTTGTGTTTGTTTTGGCAAGTGTATGTATCTAATCTTAAGGATGCTAACTTGCCCAATTTTTTTCACCTATCAGTACCATCAAGAAAATATGGCTATCACTGAGCTGAGAGCAACTAGGAAGGAGTTTTAAAATTAATCAGGCTGGCGAATTTCTGGTCTTTCTCCCTGCTTCCCCACGCCCCACTTTCTCTCCCTCTTCCCTCCCTCTCTTTCCCTTCTCTTTTTTCTCTCTATCCCTCTGTCCTTCCCCTCATTCCTCTCTCTCCCCCCTTCCTCCCTCCCTCTGACCCTCCCCTCATTTCCTTCTCTCTCTCTCTCTCTCTCTCTCTCTCTCTGTCCCTCCCCCTCCTTCCCTTCTCTCTCTCTCCCCCTCCCCCTCCCCATCACCACTGTTTCCCTGTCCTCCTGTCCCCATTCCCCCTCCCCAAGGATCTCATGTAGCCCAGGCTGACTCCAGCTCCCTACATTGCAGAAGATATTCTTGATTACTTGAACCTCCTACCTCCACCTCCCAAGTGTTGTAATTATAGGTAAGTGGTACCACACTCAGTATGTTCTGGGATGGGATCAAACCCAGGGATCCGAGAAGGCAAGGTGAATGGCTACCAACTGAGCTTCAGCCCCAGCTTCTCTGTTTGTCTTTTCTAGGACTCATCAGATGGACACAAGCAAAAGAAAACTGTCATGTAAGAAGACCAAAATTGTTCTTTCAACAAGCATGAAATGAAAACTCTGAGTGACCGGATAGCGGTTGAGTTGGCGTCCTTGGAAGTCAGCTTTCTCTTTGTGGAAATATGAGACCATGGTGCATCATGCTACCTGCAGGACCTTGGAGCTAAGCAACTGGGAAGGTTAAGTTCATGTGGCTTATGACTGTAGGGCTCTGCTCTGCTACAGCTTTAATCCTTCGACTCAGGAGCTGGTGGCAGGAGGGTCAAAAGTTAAAGAATTATCCTTGGCTACACAATAAGTCCAAGGCCTGCCTGGACTATAATATCAAAAAGAAAACCATGGGAGCCCAGGGCAGTGAGGAAAAGGAGAGGGGGGAAGAGAAAGAGAGATAGAGAATGGTGGCAGGAATTGACATGGTAGGGAATCCATGGAAGGCTGGTGATGTAGGTAGCCTCAGAACCTCGGGTCTGAAGGGACAGTAAGGCTACCGATTGGCAGAGAGAAGACCCAGAATGAAGACATTCATGGGACACATCCCAGGGCCCAGCAGAAGGACAGACCAAATACTGTGCCTTTGGATCATCCCAGGAATCCTGGTCTACAAACAAGCCTGTCTTCTTGCCCAAGATACTGGCCACCTTGTGTGGTAGGAGGGGGAAGAGGCAGGACGTAGGTGTCATAGCACTAGACCGAAGGAAGGCTAGGCAATATGGCACCTCTGCTTTGAAGCCCCAGAAAGCCCAGAGTGAGGTGTTAGGAGGCCCCACCTACTTTATCACTTTCATCTCCTGCCCACTTGCCCTCCCAACCTGTCCCACTTCTGCCCACACAACCCTCAAGCTACTGCCCCCACCCAGGATGCTTTGCTCCCTCTACCACAAGCTCTCTGCACCTGTGCCTGTACTTGTGGTGCTGCAAAGCTGCTGGACACAGCTGTGCAAGCTGGCCACCACACAGGGTGTTGCTTCCACACTGCAGACATCACAGGCGTCTACCAGCAGTCTCTAGCAGGTGGCAGGAAGATGCATCTGTTTTCTTTTAATCACCTATACGTCGGTGCCATCTGGGCCAGCAGGGCTCTGCTGTTTGCTCTGCCTAGAATATAGCCTTCCCTATGCTTCACGCTTCACCAAGCTGTCTTCGGCTCCATCACTTGAGCCTCTTCTCTAGGAAGATATCCATAGCAACACCCTTTTCACCACATCCGGCTGACGTCAGTCAATGCTAACTATTGATAATAGGAGTCAATAATGCTTATAGAGATTTCCAGAAGACATGGTTCTGGGTGGACATGAGGGCTGAATTGATTACTCAAAAGTAATGCTCCTTTCGATCTTCATTGTTTAAACAGGAACATAAAAAAAAATCAGATGGTTTGTGCTTTTCTTTGACACTTGCTAATGAGTGACTGACTCATGTCAAGGGCAAGTGAGCTAGAGTCAGGGAAACTGTAGCTGCTGCTGGGACTTAACACACAGCCCTCTTTACACTGCGTTTGCTCTCTTCGTGAGACTGCCTTCTGTCTATAGTATCTGAGGTTGAGTTTCTGCTTCCTGGAGTGCTATAATGTTTTATTTACAAATCCACGAGTCTATTGAATGTTCCAAGTGCAAGTGCACTCAGATCATCTGCAAGTCAAGCAGAAAGTCACCTGGGGAGGATGAGAGTTTGATGGGCAGGCCCTGAAGCCAGATCACCTGAACTGGAGTGCAGTCACTCACTGTGGGGTCTTGAGCAAGTCTGTTCCCATCTCTGGGCCTGCTATCCTTCACACGTTCAACTGGAAGGATTGTAACGCGAATCTAAAGTAGGCTGAAAGCTACAGGAAGCTGTGTGTCGTGACTCTAGCAGCCAGGCACAGTGGTACACCCGGTGATCTCAGCACTCCCAAGGTTGAGGTGGGAGGATCCCAAGGTCAAGGTCAGCCTGGGCTACGTAGCAAGACCTTGTCCTTAAAACTTAAAACATAATATGCACATACACACATATTATTTTATGTACATGAGTGTTTTGTCTGCATGAATGTTTGTGCATCAGAAGCATCCCTGGGGTTTGTGGAAGCCAGAAGAGGGCAACAGATACCTGAGGACTGAAGCTATAGCTGTTTGTGAGCCACCATGTGGGTGTTGGACATTGAATCCAGGTCCTCTGGAAGTGCAACCAGTGCTCTTAACCACTAAGCCATCTCAAGAGCCTCTAGACCTTGTCTTAATAAATAATTAAATAAACAAACAAGCAAATAGGTTGGGGGTGTTGCTCAGTTGGTAGAACTCTTGCCTAGCATGTGCAAAGTCCTGCGTTCAATCCCAGGTGGCATAGTAGCTCATGCCTCTAAGGAGAAGGCAGCTCAGAAATTTAAGAATATCTTCCACTACACAAGGGGTGCAGAAATCCAAGGTCATACTTGATTATACAGGAAACTTGAAGCCAGCTTGGGACATAAGACCTGCTCCCTCCCTCAAAAAAAAAAGATCTTTGAAGAGATTTCTGTATTTATGATTGATTGTTCTAGTTGCTACTACAAATAGATGTTGCAGGTGGGCACACACTATTCAGAGACCCAAGGGTATTTCGGCTGTAGGAACTTTTTATTAGCAGGGGGAGATGGGACAGTTTGAGGCAGGGAGGGCTGCAGCGGGGAGGGGTACAGCTTGGCTCACTTGGGAGGCTCTGCGGCCAGCACCGGGAAACAGCCCTCATGATGCCACTGGCGGTCACGCAAGCGACGCACAGCCTGCATCTGTGGCTGAAAAGCGCCCCACTCATTCCAGTGTCGGAAGTCGCCAGGCTCCAGCAGATATTGATAGCCGCGGTAGCCTGGGTACTGGTAGCCGACCCATCTGGGAAGAGAGTGGGAAAGGTGTAGAGACAGCCAGGGTCCTCCCTCTTCCCCAACCTCTCTCTTGTTACCCATCTTGCAACTAGTGTCCCAGGAGGGTCCACACACCTGCCTGGCTTGGCCTTTCCTGTCCCATGCCCTGGGAAATGGCCTTCCCATTTCTGGTAGGCCTCAGTAGATTCTCCTCTGAAAAGTGGGCACTGTCACTTGGCTGCTGTTTTGAGTATGCTTGGGGACCAGATGAAATGAATGCCCCCACTGTAGGCAGTAAGTCCACACCCACGGGTCCGGGAAGGACAGAATTCAATACATGAATCTTGAGCTCCCAGGTGATGAGGACGAGGAGCCATGTCTCCTGACCTGAGTGGCCCTTCATACGTGGAGGTCTCTCTGGCTACTGTAAGCGCTGTCCAGTGTCAGATAAATAACCTAGAGTCAAGTCCAGAACCTGAGCCCTGTGGGCCTCAGTTTACTCTCTGGGAGTGGTGATGGTGTTGATGCCTCTCACTCCGTTTCTGATGGGGACTCATTTCCTCTGATGGCTGAGTGCAGCACAGAGGCTCCCTCACCAAAGAAAGGGGCAGTCAGAGATTCACTCCACGTTCGGTCCTTGCCTGAACACAAGCCAGGTCTTTTGCTTGCCCTTGGCTGGTTTCTGTAGAGGAAGAGCCAGATCCCACCCTGTTCCTTCCACACTGCTACAGTGGGTAGTCAAGGCTGGACCATGTCCACACTGTACAGAGCATACTGGTGTCTCTAGTGCTGGGCAGAGGAAACCCCTCTAAGCAGAGAGTGGCCTCAATCCAAGCCTTGCCTCTGTGTGCCCAGCACATGGCAGGCTCTCAGACAAGACTCAGAATTCTGAGAGGAATGGATGAGGTTCAGGGCAGAAGGAAAAGGGGGCTAGGAAAAGGCTACCATCCTAGAAGCACTATAGAAAGGTAAAGAGGACACTCATCCACAGGGGCCACGACTAGAGACAAGGCCGCTGACTCTCCCTAGGTTCTTGAAGAAGTAGGGTAAAGGGCTTTGCTTGGGAACCTCAGATGCCGGAATTCGGGTGGATGAGGAAACCTCAACCACGCATTGCACTCAGGTGAAGATGGGGTGCCATCTCACCCAGAGACCTCTGCTGGAACTACCCTCTGTCCACATCAGCTCTGGCCAGGGCCACATTACTCCTGAGCAGCTGAGAGTCTCTCCACTGTGGGCTATAGTACTTAGATGGAGGTGGAACTTGTCACACACCACAGAACACCAGGTGATCTGTTGTGCGTGTGATCTGTTGGCAGAACCCCAGGACCCAGTCCGTTCTGGAAGACTCTGTGTGTGTGTTTGTGTGTGTGTCTGTGCATATCTATATGTATGTGACTGTGTGTGCCTGTGTGTGTCTGTGTGTCTGTGTATATCTATGTGTGGGTCTCTGTGTGTATGTGACTGGGTGTGTATATGTGTGTCTGTGTGTATTAGTGTATGTCTCTATGCATGTGTCTGTATGCATGTGTGTGTTTGTATATATATCTGTATGTGTGTGTCTGTGTGTGAATCTGTACATGTGTCTGTGTGTTTATGGGGGACGGTTATGAGGTCTTTCCCAGGGACCTGATGTGACATTTCACCTCTGGCGGCCTTAGCCTCTCTCTCTGCACTTGCTATGAGGTCCAGGACCTGGTTGCTTACGTGCCACCGGAGACGGTCACGCTGCCCACACGGTCACAGAAGCCATATACCCAGAGGCTGGGCACGTCATCCTCTTGGATCTCCATGGTGTTGCCCTTGAAGTTGGCTCCTTCAAACAGGCAGATCTTGTGCTCCTGGGAGTCCTGGGGAGGCCAAGACCAGTCAGAAATGGAAGCTGGGGTGGTAGAAGAAAGGGGTGAGGAGGAACCCTTTGGACTTGCCCAGTGTGGACCCTCATTCTCTGGGAAGAGAGGATAATGGCTTCTACATCTCAGGTGCCCAAGGATAAAATGGAATCATCCACACAGGCTTAAGTTCTTATGGGGAAATGTGTGGCATCACCTTGCAGCAACACAGAGGCCCAGAGAGGGCAAACATATTGGTTTACAGCACACAGCCAGCAAGGGATAGCACCTTCCAGAGAAGTATCATCCCCAATTCCCAGCAGTCTCTGAGGTATTGGGAAGCCCCTTTCAATGTCTCTTTATATGAATTCTAATCAAGTGAGCTGCAATGGACCGTAGTTGTAGAAGGACAGACAGATGGAGCGTGGATCTGCATTTGAGCCCGAACTGTGGTCCTTATGCCCAACACCTTGGACATTTCACTCTGTCCTGCAGGCCTCAGTGTGCTCTCCTATAGAGTGGGCTTGCTGCCACTTCACCCCGGGACTGTGGGTAGGAGACTTTGTGGTTGAATGATAGACCTGGAAGAGACTGAGGTGCACCCTTGAATGCCAGCATAGAAGAGTTCTGGCTGGAACTGGTGTTCTTTTGGTTGTTGATTTTGCCTTTTGTTTTGAGTGCTGGGGTTGGAATCCTGGTCCTGCTACATGCTAGGCAAGTGCTCTGCCACTGAGCCCCAGGCTCAGCCCCACTGAGTTTTAAGAGGTGAAGTGCCATGGGGATGTGCAGCCAACAGGGCGGAGCGAGGCCCAGCCTATTGCTGATGAGCTGTGCAGTGTGAAGAACTTCATTTTCCATGCTTGGGCCTCGGATTCCTTATTGTTACAATTAGTGTTGTAATGGCTTCTGCCTACTAGGGCTACTTTACAAATTCCACAAAAGGAAGAGGAAGCACTGAACACCCAGCAGGTGCTCATTAAAGGAGTGCTTCATTCAACATTGTCACCTAGCAATGGGGGGGGGGGGGACGGGCAAAAGCACATCCTTCCGTGAGACACACTTACGTGGAAGACTGTAAGTGAAGTAAGTTAGTTAGCTCTCCCAGAGGGAAGAGCAGTGGACCAAGGGAGGAGTTAAAGGAGAAGGGAAATTTAAGAGGGACTGTGTAGGTCAAGTAGAAGTACGAGAGCTAGAGAGGGAAGTAGGGCAGAGGTCACAATGAGTGGAAGAGAAGGCATAGACAGCAAACATCCTTGAAAGAGGATTGTGGTGTGAGGTAGGGATGGGGACACAGGAGACAAGGTCGCTACTTAATCTATGCCAGTGACTATTACCTATAACTATTGCCATCTTGAGGACCTTGAGGAAGGTCCAGTCTGTGGCTCCCTATTGCAATGCAGGTGAGACCTCCTGGTGCCCCATAAAGCCCTGTGGGGCCCCACCTTGCAGACACCCCTTCTCACCCTGTGCCCCCACCCCCGGCCACTCCTGATGCAGTCAGGTGATAGTGTGTAATTTATTCAGCTGGTCTGACCCTGCTGCAGGACTCTGACCTCACTGGCCCTTGGATTGCTTTCCCTACAGCTGTCCTTGGGCAACTCAGCTAGTTCTCAAGCGACCCTCAGGTGCTGGCTGCCCTGCTTACTGCCCCGCCTAGTCTCCCCTCCTACCAACCTACCCCAGCAGCACAGACCAAGGTTTCTGGTTACTGATGGGCTTCCAGGGCCTAGGGTGGAGTTGGCAGAGTCAGGCTACCCTAAACTGTCTAATAGGGTCTCAACCATGTATCTCTGACTGGCCTGGGATTTGCTTTGTAGACCAGGTTGACTGTAAACTCTCAGAGATCTGCTGCCTCTGGCTCCCTGAGTGCTGGGTTAAAGGTGTGCACCACCACATTTGATCCCAATGGTCAGGTTTGATTTGGGAAACAACTCTTTAATTTCATGAAAGCGGGATGAAAGGGAGGCGGGGACCCAAGAGTGATGTGCGTGGGGTATGTTAGGTGCTCGGGAGAAGGACAGTCACGGGACACAGACGACAAATCAGACAACTGGACCACTTCCCTAAGTGTAAAAGATTTCCTGGAGAGGGGCTGGGGTGAATAAAGGGGCTAGTGCCCCCAGCAGCACTGGATTCGGAACTAATTTACCTGGGGTGAGGATGAGTGGTAAGATTTTTAAATTTTTTCTAATATATTTTGTCTAAACATCTATGTCTAAAATATAACCATAATTCTAATGTTAATGTATCACGAGAGCATGATCTCTTATGCTCATGAGAATGGTATGGTGGTGTATGTAAAACCAGGAGAGTGTTATGGCTCAGCTCCATCCAGACCAGATCAATTTCACAGGCTCAGCAACTACTTAGGATCTGATTGTGGTGCAGCACACCTCTAACCCCGGGAGAAATATGAAGCCTGGGCTACAAATGGCTAGTGACTACTATATCAGATAGCAACGTCTAGAGCAGTGGTTCTCAACCTTCTTAACGCTGAGACCCTTTAGTACAGTTCCTCATGTGTAGTGACCCCAACCATAAAATTATTTTTGTTGCCACTTCATAACAGTAATTTTGCTACTATCATGAGTTGTAATGTAAATGTTTTGGGAGATGGAGTTTAGGCAAAGGGGTTGTGACCACAAGTTGAGAGCCATTGCTCTAGCGGTAACTTCATTGACACCGTCCTACTTGAGCATGCGTCTCAACTGCACCCATTCCACAGATGGGCAGACAAGGCTGCCTAACTCAGTGACGCATTAGTAATGCCTCATAGTCCTGGGTGAGCCTTCATGAACATGCTTTCTTCACAGACATTTCCCACCTCAAGAGGTGAGAGTCAGCACCACCTGAGCCAGGCATGCATGAGTAAGAAGTAATTGGCTCATGACTCATTAATCAATTCATAATTCTAGAACAACCACGCACCATGCAGGGCTATCTTCACGATCTAGATTCATCTCCTTTACACCGATCTAAACATCACTAAGCTAATTCAGCATTAATTGTCACAACTGTCTTTCCCAAAGTCCCTTACTCAATCACTTCGCAACTTTCTTCTTTTTTGTTTTTGCAACAGGGTCTCGCTTGTAACCAAGGCTAGATCTGAACTCATAATCCTACTGCCTCCACCTCCCCTGTGCTGGGACCATGGGCCTGTGTCACCATGCTTTCCTGCTCACCATAGACCGCCGTCCCAGTCCCAGCCACTCACCATCCTGATGGGCCGGAAGGACATGAGCCGGTCACTGCGATAACTGCTGCTCCAGGTGTCCCAGCGGGGGTACTAACCCTTCTCCAGGACAAACATCTCCCCACGGAAGGCAGATTGCTCAAAGGCCACCCAGCTGAACACAAGAAGGACCAAGAGGGACAGAGACGGGAAGGTTAACACATCAGCAAGTTCCTTCCCCAGCACAGAGGCCCAGGCACCAAAATGAAAATCCCAAGTGGGTCCAATGGGTCTAGGCTTTATTCTGTGCTAAACCCCTTTCTTTCCTAAGTGCCTTCCCCATCCCAGACTTCATCACTTCATCTACACTGGCATTTTCTGGAGTTGGCAAAGGATTAAATGAGACACTATTTGTAATTATCTGAGTAAATTATTTTAGCCAATATGGGATTCACACAGACTTTAAATGCTATAAGGACCTGGGGCCAACTAACTAACCACAAAAGATTTTCTTTTAATCTCACTAATAACTGGGAGGAAGTCACTGCTTGCTGCTAATGTGATCCTGATGCCTACTGGTCACTTCTTTCCAACCATGGGAACAACAGGCCCTGGTTCTAGTCCTTCAGGCCAGGGTATGAAGTGCTGCTTTGGGTTCAAAGCAAGGCTTCTTACAGGGACCCATGACTTACAATGGAACTAGGGTTTAAATTGCTAGAGTGGTGTAAGCTTGTGTTCAAATATATCACAGGAGTTGGGCAGGGTGATGCAGCCTGCAATTCCAGCACAAGGGAAAAGCAGCAAGATCATGATATCTGTGGCCAGCCTGGGCTACATAGTGAGACCTTGTCTCCAAACAATGAAATCAAAGGAAGCAAATGTGAGTAGTCCCAGAAGTCCAGATAGGAGAGAAAAAATAATTCCCATTTGCTGAGAACTAGCCTAGCAGGCAGGAGGCCCACAACTAGGGTGGGTGGTGCAGAAACGGAGCATGACAGTGAGTCGCAGACACCTGGTGAATTCTCATGATGTGACGGCACATGTGAAGGGTCTTTCACAAAGGGTAAATTGGACATTTTTCACTGTGGTCTGATTAGGAGGGTTAGGGCAAAGATTATGGGGGGAAGAGTGATCCTCAGTCTATGTGTGTGGAATTCTAAGGGACCAAGAGAGAACCAGTGGAACACCATGTTATCTTCCTGAGGGCTACTGGGACCTTCTCACCAGAAAGATGGCAATAAGGAGACATTCCACGAGCCTCAGGATATTGTCTGAGAGATGAACCAACCACATTAAAGTGACAGGAAGAAAGATGTGAACTTGTCCTCAAAGAACACTACTGAGGTTTTGTTAACAGACTAGAGAAGAAGAGGAAAATAAGGCTGGCTGGCCGGCTCACTGGAAGGATGGATAGAAGGGTAAATGTATGTATGTATGTATGTATGTATGTATGTATGTGTAGGAGGATATGGAGATAAACGAATATATGGATAAATGTGTGGGTTGATGGGTGGATGAATAAGTGGATCGGTAGATGAATGAATAGGTGTATGAGTAGAGGAATGAGTAGGTGGATTGGCGAGGACAGGAAGATCAGTGTGTAGATGGCTGAAGAGTTGGATGAATGAACAAATAGGTGATATGAGATGGAAGATGGATAAAAGGGAATGCATGGATACTAGACTGATGGATTGGCCTATAGATGGATGTGCAAATGAACAGGTGACACATGTGGTGGACAGAATGTGTAGATGGGGAGGGAACCTCAGAAACTGGTACCACACAGGCATGAAGACCAGAGACTCTGGGAAATGACAGACTTGAGTTCTGATCCCAGTTCATCATTGACTTACTCACCGTGGGATTTGGAGCAGTCACGGATGATGGTTAAACATCAGTAAAAGAGAAGAAGTGACTGCATGCACATCCCTGAAAAGTTTGAGCGTCTGAAACTAGGGAACTCATGGAGCAGACTCAACATGAAGCTCACACAGTATCTCGTCTATGACTAGCGAGGAGGAAGCTATATAAAGACGAGGCAGGTGTGGTCTAGTCACCTGCTCCTCTCCCTCCACCTTCCTCTGTCCTCTTTGGATAGCCCATGAGGACTCAGTCAGCAGTGAGAAATGCCAAGTAAGTGTCCCGGTGCCCATTTTCACTGCCTATGACTCATCCGAGCCACAAGCAAGAAAAGGAAGGCAGGAATCAAATGGAGCTTCAGCCCTGAAAGGTGGTGCCCAAACATGGTGTTGGGTTTCAGGCTGAGATTTCCCAGGTAATGTCTCTCTCCTCCTTCCCCTGCTCATCTCCTCTTCATCCTTTTCTTCCCACACACCTGCTGATCCTGACAGAGCCCTTGCCCCTGGATCTCAGGCCCATATCTTTCCCTTTGGGGTACAAGCCCTGAACAATAACAACAACAGAAAAAAAGGACATGGGCACAGCCGTCTCTCCTTTTGAGGAGAATACTCTGGCTTTGAGTCATCAGCATCCCAAACATTCTGAAACCTCAAGATGGCCACATCCAGCAGTTTCTGTCCCAGATGGGCTTAGGGAATGGGTGGGACTGGGTTGACCACACCAGGAATGGAGTGGGCGCGAGAGGCGTGAGTGGCCCCCAAAACAGAACATAGACCACCGAGTGCTGCTGAGACCCACAGGGAAGTAGATGGCCGTCACTATCGCCTGCCATGCTTGGATGTCTACAGTGCCAACCCCTGTCTCAGAATCATTCTTCCTCTTTTTGTTTCAGCTTCAAGGAAGCAGGCTTGAAGACAGGACAAGATACAGGAAGGAGTGAGCACTGGAACCCAAGTAGGTCCGATCTCAATCTGACCTTGAACTCAAGCTGGTTCTTCCTTTTGTGCTGTTGGCAGCTTGAGATGCTTTAAACACTGACTGGCCATTCCCCTTGGGGATTTCATGGTGGAAAAACAATAACAGAGAGGACAATGGAGACAACCCAAGAGAGATAGTTTTCTGCTTCTGAGAACCGGGAGTAAAATCCAAGAGCCTGTGACAGATGTGGATGCTGCCACTCAGCATGGGTGACCTCACCCATTGACTAAGCCCTCAGAGCCAAGGTCTCCTTGTCTGTTGACTGGTGAGTAGGGTAGCCCTCTCTCAGACAACTTGGTGCTGTTATAGGTGACAAGTCATGCACCTGCTTTTTACACTACAGTGTTTGGGAGAGGGGATGTCTGGGGACATGTGGTTCCTCCCAAGGTAGCCTTACAGTGCCAGGTCATCTCTGAGTCTCAGTTTCCTCAAGTGTCAATGAGGGAGCACCATACCTCTCCCCCAGGTGTGCAGAGAAGCTGGGGAAAGACCAAGGGGTGACTACTACTCAGGCACTCGCCAGGCAAATGTAACTGTTTTGTGGTAGAGAGTGTCCCTCCCCGTCCAGCACTCACGGTCCTGAGATGACGATCAGGCTGTGCACTCGGTCAAAACCACGATCCCCCAGGTTCAGGCACTCCCCTGAGAATTCAACCCGACGGCCCTGAAAGTTTTCCTGCTCGAAGACGACCAGCTGTCAAGAGAAGCCCCCCATGACCGGGGAAGATTGAGGGGTGACCTGGCTCCATGATCCTGACCTCCAAATGAACAAATCTGATAGATGAGGGGCTCAGATTCAACAACTCCTGAAGGGCTTGTCTCAATCATTGTCAGGATGCCATGAGCCTCAGTTTGTGAATGAGTCTGCTCCCTGTCTTCCCACCACTGAACTCAAGGTCAGTACCATGGTCAGGTGCAGAAATGGGGACCCGTGTCTCTCATTCAAGGTCTCCCTATGTAGCCTAGATTACCTGGAATTTATTCTATAATCTGGGCTAGCCTTAAACTTGGGATCCTCTGGCCTCCACTGCCAAGTAGTGGGACTAATTGTATGTGTGCCACCGGGCCCAGCTCTTCTAGTTTCTTCTCTGCGTTATTTCTCAGCCAGGCATGACCTCTTCACCAGGAGTCGCCCAACTTGGATCTTCCACTGCCTAACTCATATTCCAGGCTACATACATGGTCCTGACCCTGTTCTAGGTGCAGAACCCACTTTCACCGAGAAGCCTTCTTGGATTGCTCCTGCTCTATACTGGGCAGGAACCGAATGCCTTCCACTGTGGTACTCCTCATAGCCAGGTACAACTCTGGGAAGTCACCACTGCCTCTGGGTCTCCCTCCTTCCCCACCTCCTCTGCCTTCTCTTCTTCTTCCTCTTCCTTTTCTTTTCCCAACCTCTACCTTCAAAGAGCTCCTTCTGGGCAGGGCAGATATGAGCTGTTTCCTTATTTGTGGACCCAAATATAGGTAACGCTCACTCAGCCCTCATTCGTCTCTGCAGCTCCCATGTGGATTTTTGCACATTTTCTGCCCCAACAGCAACATTACCATTCAGTGATGTCAATGCACCTATCTGGCACCAGGTGCAGGTGGCAGATACTTAAAGTTGGGGAGATTATGGTAGGGATAGTGTTCTGAGGGACCCTTAGGGCCAGGTAGAGGGTTTCCATCAAATCTTAGCTTATATATGGATTGTGGGTTTGCAGGTAGGTACACGCTACCTTGTTAAAAAGTAATTTAATGATTAAATGCAATGACATAAATCAAAACCAGCCACATCCAGGCCAGATGTGAGTCATAAACCAAGTGTGGCCAGGGCTCTACCTGAGGGTAAAACCACCATAAATCAAATTCAAAGGACAGAGAGTCTGGCTCTCCAGGAGCCCTGCAACTTGGACCTAGGGAAAGAATTTCCAGGAAAATCAGAGGTCAGCCTGGTGGCCTGGTGGCTCTCCTGGGATGAGTGGTCCCTGCCACCAAACACACTCCCTTCTGGTTTCTGGCTTTGCCAACCACTAAGCTCCCATGTACAGTCTGGCCTGGCAGTAGGCATCTTGCAGCAGGAGGACCACTTAACACTTCAGGGAATTCCCTTTTCTTCCAGGCATGTGGAACCTTTGAGGTTCCCAGACTGTCGGGGAGGGAGAGGCCATGGAGGATGGAGAGCAGGCCAGAGAGGATGGAGAGCAGGCCAGGGATGGTGAAGTACAGGTCAAGGAGGATGGAGAACAGCCAGGGAGGATGGAGAGCAGGCCAGGGAGGATGGAGAGCAGGCCAGGGAGGATGGAGAGCAGGCCAGGGAGGATGGAGAACAGGCCAGGGAGGATGGAGAGCAGGCCAGGGAAGGTGAAGTACAGGTCAGGGAGGATGGAGAGCAGAACAAGGAGGATGGGGAGCAGAACAAGGAGGATGGAGTGCAGGCCAGGGAGGATGGAGAGCAGAACAAGGAGGATGGAGTGTAGGCCAGGGAGGATGGAGAACAGGTCAGGGAGGATGGAGAACAGAACAAGGAGGATGGAGAGCAGGCCAGAGAGGACAGAAAGCAAAAAGAGTCAGAGGAAAGAGAGCATAGGGAGGCATAGGGAGGCAGAGACTCCAGGCTTCCAGGCATGTGGAACCTTTGAGGTTCCCAGACTGTCTGGGAGGGAGAGGCCATGGAGGATGGAGAGAAGGAAGGGAGAGAAGATCTGCAAAGGAGAGAGAATGAGGAGGGAGGGGGAGAGGGATGAGGAGAGTGTGGATTGTAAAGCCTCCCCTGCCCACCCTGTCCTTACCTTACCTTATAGCTCCCAGGAGGCAGGTCCCTTGTTTTGGTGCTGGGCCTGGGCACAGAAGCTGGGCCAGGGGCCAGGCCAGGGGCTGGGGCTGGCCCTGTGGTTGGGCCCCCCTTCCCCTTGCCATCAGGCCCCGGGTTCACCGCCATGGTAGCCACAGCCTTAGCAGCCTGAGACATGGTTCCTGATGCTGCAAAGAAAAAGAAATCTTTGGGTTGAATGATTTTGGGGCGGCAATCCCAAGTGGCCTCTACCCTTATGCTTCTCTCCCTGTGTCAAGGCTCCTTCACAGACATCGACTCCCCCTGGAAACAGACACTCTGAAGCTATCCCTCTCCTAGGCTATGTCCTTCCTTCAAGCCCCACACTCTGCTACTCTCTTCCTCGGCCCCTTGTGCTTGTTTACTATCATATGTGTTTGTAGCAGGCTTTGCCACACCAGCTGAGTGACAGCCACACTCAGGAGTGTTTCATCAAACACAGTAACCTTAACTGTGGGCTGGAGGGGAGGGGGGGGCGTCTGGATCTCCTGTTACAATCTAGCTAGAGTAAAGGTGCCTTGCCATCCACAGGGCAGTCGCCTCCCTCCTCAGCCAGCAGATGGACAGGCACCTGGGTTATTAAATGCAACCTTGTAAACACTTCTATCTAGGACAGCTTGTTTGGCTCTCTGCTAGATGCATGGGAGCTGCTCAGCCAACATCTGTTCAGAAACTCAGTGTAAGTGTGTGTGTCCTGAGCCTCTCCCAACCATCCGCCCCTGGCATCCTCTGAGGGCAGATGTGGGTGTGCAAACATCAGCCTGGCACTTGGGTTTGGGAGGTACAAGAGGAGGGAGTAGCATGCTTCTGGCACTCTCCACCAGAACTGTGACTTGTGACCTCAGCTCTCCTGGTCCCTCAAGAAACAGACTTCTTGGCACAGGACATACCTGATTGCACTATCCCCTGGATTCTGCTGATAATTTACAAACCACTGGAGTACTGGGACCCAGAGCAAACTCCCTTGGTCTAGCTGGGTTCCCAACATCTTCTCTCTAACTGGGCGAGCGCACACTTCCCAGCCTTCCGCAGGAGGACTGACTGCTCAGTTGCCCACACATCTGAGCCACATCTGGGGCTTTCAACCACCCTCAACCTTGTCTCTGTCCTCAGAGGCCCCTCCTTGCCCAGCACTGTGTTCATTCTCCCTGCCCCTCCAATCTGCCTCTGACAGAATACTTGTCATTGCTTGTCTCTCTTCCTCCCTTCCTCTATTTCTGTTTTGTTGTTTTGAGAGAGGGTCCCTCTCTGTAGCCTAGGCTAGTTTCCAGTTCTCAGCATCCTTCTGCCTTGAGTGCGGGCTAGACAAGTATGCACGGGCAACAGCTCTGGTTTTTGCTTCCTCCCAGTGTCTGTTCAGTTCTTCATCATACTCTCTCTCTTTCTATTTTCACCCTTCTTCCCTTTATTTCCACCTTCCCCCAGTTCTCTGGCAGTGTGGTGGTCCCCTCTTACCTGTGTTGGAGGCAGGCGGGTGCTGTGGGTGCCTCAGGGCCGACCCCCCATTTTATAACCTGGCAGACACTAGGGTCTATAGTGTGCAGTACAAAGAGGTAGCTGGCTCAGCAAGCCTGGACAGGCTCCAGGGCTGGCTCTGCCCCGGTACTGCACAGGCTAGCACTTTTCATTGTGAGCCTGGAACACAGTGAAAGCCTGGCCCCAACCCTATTCTGACTCCAGTGTCCATTATCCTGACTGGAGAAGGCCCAGGGCCCTGCTGGCTGACAGCCTAGGGTAGGGAAGGGGCACCAGGTAGGAGGCAAGCTGAATTAGAATCCTGCCTCAGAGCCAAACACAGCACAGCTTCAGAAGTCTCCGTCTACAGATACAGGTGACATGCCTCCCTGTGGGATACTACGCAGAACTGAAGAGAACACTGAGTTTGAACATGCTCCATCAAGACAGAAGGGCTCTCGGTTCACAGCCCCATTCCTGAGCACTTCTGTGTGTTTGCAGCCTCTGGCCTTGTGATTGGCTCGGAAGCAAGCCGCCCCACCCTGGCTCTTACTTCACTGGCTTCTTAGTTGTGAAAAAGGCTGGGTGCAGAGGTCAGTACTGGCCAGAGGAGGCAGGCAGGCTCTGACCTGCACGCTTCATCTCAGGCCATCTGACCTTGGCACTGACTGAGGTCTGCCTGACATCCTGTTTCTAGTGTGGTGGTGTGGGCTGGATCTCAGGTTCAAGGCAAGGCCCTTCCTAACTGCCCATCAGCTTCCAGGGACTGAACCCAGGACTGTTGCCAGGGTGAGGAACATGGAGTCTCTGAGCAATCTCACACCCCCCATGGCTGGGCAAGGGGCCAGCACTTCACACATGGCCTGGGCCCTCCCAGGTCCCCGACAGCATGAGAATAAAATACGAGGTGTGTGTGGGGGAATTCTAGTGTTCGCTAGAGGGTTGGGAGACAGGTAATGGACAGCCAAGGTGAGGACAGAGATCAAAGGGTGAAGCATGATAAGCAGGAAGGGAGGTGGAGAAGACGACAGAAGCTGGAGGGAGCCTGAGGCAAGAGAGAAAGCCGGTGGCCACGTGTCCTTGCGGACCAGTGAACTCCAGCAGGTGGAAGGCAGACGGTCCCCTGTTTACCCAAACAGACGAGAGCAGCTTTCACCCTTGTCCACAGTGTGAACTGTCTTCAGCCCCAGTGGGATAATTCTTCCTCTGAGAAACACTTCTTTTTTGGGAAGTCAAGACCCCCCCCCCACACACACACACAGCCTAGCTCTATCTTGTGGTCACTCTGGCCTGGGACCAATGCTGGCCCTGCCCCTCTGCCCACGAGTCCCTCTCCCTACTAACCTCCTCTCTGCCTTTCATCCCAGGCCAAGTCCTTGAAGGGCAAGCTGGGAACACAGGATGGGGCAGCCACTGTGTGTCGGGCCAAGATGCCTGTGGTGGGGGCCACCCACAGATCTGGGCTTCAAGGGCAGGATCTCGGGTAGTTTCTTCCCCCTACCACCCTGCCAATGGGCAGCTTGCCAGAGGTTCTGGGAGATGCAGAGCAGCCTCTTTGCTGGGCAGCTCTTCTCTGAGCACTTTGTGACTCTGTTGTCTGCCTTCAGATGAACCATTTATAGACAAGAATGTGGGTGGCTCCTCTGTCCCCTCCCAGCCCTCTTCCCCATGTAGAATTGGCACTCACACTCTCCTTTATTTCTGTTTAGTTTACTGAGACGGGGTGTAGCCCAGGCCGGCCTCAAGTTCTCTGTGTAGCTGAGGTGAGCTCTCACCTCCGCATCCCAAGTGCTGGGATTACAAGTGTGCACCGCCATGCTGGGCTGTTTCTTCTAACCTCCCGAGTCCAGACTCTTAGATGCTATGAGCTCCTGCTTTGGGGGAACTGGCATTTATAGTGATAAGTACTTCTGCTAGCAAGGATGGCAAAAGTCGCCAAGACCCAGACAGCTAACAGCTATCACACCTGTGCTCTCAGGCTAACAGTTTTTATTATGCATGCGTGTGTGTCTGTGTGTCTGTCTGTGTGTGTGTGTGTGTGTGTGTGTGTGTGTGTGTGTGTGTGTTCATGCACGCCCACATGGAGTTCAGTTCTTCCCTTTCATCATGTGACCCTCAACACTGAAGTCAGGTCATCAGACCCGGTGGTAGGTACCCTTTGAACCATCTCATCGGCCATCAGTCCTCACTTTGTCTTTTTGTTTGTTAGTTTTCCAAGACAGGGTTTCTCTGTGTAGCGCTGGCTGTCCTGGAACTCACCCTGTACACCAGGCAGGCCCTGAACTCACAGAGATCCTCCTGCCTCTGCTTCCTGAGTGCTGGGATTAAAGGCGTGTGCCCCCACTGCCTGGCCCACTTTGTCTTTTCACTTCCATTTGATACATAACGTTAAGTGTGGTTCAGTTGCATCAGGACCCTTCTCACAGGTGTGGGGTGCAGGACCAGGCTGCTGCCTGTGGAGCCTGCATCCCATTCACCCTTTGCCAAGTCCTGCTTGTGTGGCAGCTCTTTTGTCATTTTCAGGAAGGAAGAGATGTTGCTGTTTCCTACCCGTCAGGGGACTCACTCTTTATCTGGTCACCTCACCCAGCAGCAGGGGTGAGTTTTACCACAAGCAGTTCCTGCCATGCTACCTACTCTTGTGACTGCCCTTCTCAGGCTGTCTCAGAGGCAAGGCTCAGGGAGCCACTCGGGTGTTTGTCTGCCATGCTTTGCTCTGTGAAGCATGTTTGCAGGTTGCAGCCCCTTCTGCATGCACAGACGCTTCCACAGGGCTTGCAGCTGGCACTGGCTCTGGCCCTAACCAACACTCTTTTTTTTAAAATTGATTTTATTGGGCTATGTATTTTTCTCTGCTCCTCTCACTTCCTCTCCCCTCCCCTTCAACCCTCTCCCATGGTCGCCATGCTCCCAATTTACTCAGGAGATCTTGTCTTTTTCTACTTCCCATGTAGTTTAGATCCATGTATATCTCTTAGTGTCTTCTTTGTTGTCTAGGTTCTCTGGGATTCTGATAATCACTCTTACTGCCCCCTCTGAAGATTTGTGCTCTGTCTCCTCTGTATTTGCTGTCCAAAGCCTTTGCCCCGTGCCCCTGGGGTTTTGCTTAGACCGCCCCTTCTTCCAAGCCACTGTGGAAATCGTCTCTACCCTTTAAATGTGGGGCCTCAAGCCAGAGCCTGATGCCCAACTAGAAGAGGCAGGGGCATGTGGAGTGGTGGGGGAGGGCAGGCACAGCAGTCCTGAGGTATGGATTGTCTGTCCTACCATGCAGACAGAGAGAAGGTCACCCACTGTCAAGGTGATGCTGGGCCCCAAGTCTAGGGCTTTCCTAGTCCTAGTCAGGAGTCCCGTGGAACTGGTGGAGGTGGACGGTCTGCCTTGTATCTTCTCTAGTGCTGGCCCTGGGGCAAGCCACTGTTCCCTCCCTACTAAAGCCAGAGCTGCTGACATGTCCATCCTGGGCCTTGGCCAGGACTGGCTTTTGTTTCTACCACTGGCTTGCTGAGTTTGTGTTTGTCCCTCGGGGCCCCTGCCCCTTTCCTGCCTATAAGAGCCTGACCTTGCCTGTTCCTGCTTCTGACATTTGCTCTGGGCCCTTCTTGGTAAGTCTGGGTGGGAGGCAGGAGTAGAGCTGAGCTCTCTGATGGCATCGTTTTGGGGATGTCATTGATCACCCTAAATGCCATCACAACCCAGGTAGTCTTTGGATGTCCAGACTGCTGCCTGTTACTCTTATTTAAATGCCAAGTTGTTTTTCCCCCATCATTTTGTGTTCTGTGTGTCCACTATGAGAGCCATACATCAGGCTGGTGCTGCACTTGTGTGTGTGTGTGAAATGTGCTTACCTCATTCCACCCACATAGCCATAGCGGCCCCACTGTGAGCTGGGGATGGAAGCAAAGAGACCCAGATGTGGCTGGGAAGATGCCATTTGCAGATGGGTGGGACGGGAAAAGGGTCGCTGCAGTCTGAGAACACCCAGACCCACCCAGATTCTGCCCCTGCTTCAGTTGAGGATGCGCCCGGGAATCAGACAGAAGGTGACTGTGTTCTTCTCTCTGTAGGACCAGGCCAACATGACCCTGCAGTGCACCAAGTCAGCCGGACACTGGCGGGTAGGAAGTGGCCTAGGGAGCATGTGTCCTGGGAGGGGAGGGAGGAAGCCAGCTAAGACCCCCAACTGCATCTTCACGGGGGAGGGGTACCGACTGCCATGCATGCACTCAAGTCCAGGGAGTCACGCATCTCCTGGTACTCACTGCTGAGTCACGTCACACAATCTTCCTTCTGTATCTCTTTGACCAAGCTTGGCTTTGGAAAGAGAAACTAAAAGCTGGGAGTGATGGCACACATCTGTAATCCTAGCACTGAAGAATTGGAGGTCGAAAGCTTGTGAGTTCAAGGCTAGCCTAGGCCTCATGAGATCATAGCTCAAAAAAAAAAAAAAACCTTTGGAGGAGCCACATGAAAGTCTTCTGTGAAGGCCCTGAGAAATGGAAACTCTGCTACATTCCCAACTGATGTCAGTGGGAGGTGATGGTGGACAGACGTTGTCTGTACTCTGGGCCTGTGCTGTCCAGGACCATGTCATAGTCCACCTTGCTCACCCACCTGACCCCGGAGGTACTTGAGTATGTGACCTTGGTTGACTTGTTTGGCTCCATCCTGAATCCAGGGTGAGACCCTCAGTGCTTATTGAACCCTGACGCTCACACATCTCCCTTCTTTCCTGCGCAGATGGTGGTGTGGGATGAAGAGGGCTTCCAGGGCCGACGGCATGAGTTCACAGCTGAGTGTCCCAGTGTGCTGGAGCTTGGCTTTGAGACTGTGCGATCTTTGAAAGTCCTGAGTGGAGCGTGAGTCTGAGGATATTGAGTCAGGATGGGGTAGGGGCAGGAAGGGATCTAAGGACGGATGCTAGAACCGATCCATGTTCCCAGATGTACACTTTAATTGTACCTATGTGTCCCTCCCATGTGCAAGAGAGAATGCAGGGATGTTGAGTCATATTACCCAGGCTGTACACTTCCCACTTGTAAGGGACACCATCACACAGTCCCTGCCCACTAGATGAGGCATCCCCACGGGGTCTGAAGATGTCCCTCCTACACATAAACTGAAAGTTAGCATTACACTCAGATCCTCAAGACTAGCATCCTGCAGCAGCCCTTGCTACAATGATGGGAAGATTTATAAATCTGCTTAATCTGCTTGAGACTCACCAGCCACACATGGCCGTTGAGGAAGAATTTCAAATGTATATTCTGTGACTTAAGAGTTTAATTTTAATTTTTACTTAATCTTAAGATCAAATGTAATTAGTGGTATGTGACTCATGTTTATACCACTGGGTAGAATATCCCAGAAAATTAGGAAGAAGACCAAAAGGAGAGTGGTACTTTGTCTGACTTAGAGCCCAGGCTTTGCCTGTGGGTACCTCCCAAGGTCACCTTGGTGGTCTATATAGCATCTCACACCATACCGATTGCTCTTTTAGCGTCTGCTCTACTCAGGTTGGGAGACGGGGCTCAGGACAGCTGCCTGTGTAGGGACAGTGTCCTGCAAGCTGCCAGGGGAGGCTGGGCAGAAGGAAAAGAGCCTGGATAGATTCAGAGGGTGACACAAAACAAAAGGGATTGATAGAGGGTGACTTCCGTGCTTCTGCTCAAGGTGAGACCGTGTCAGTCCCTTCTGCCACGGGAAATGAGCAGGAAAGAGAAGCTGTCCCAGAAGCCTCCCTGAGGTGGGAGAAGGAGAAACAGCTCAGGGAAGACACTCCTGACCCCTCAGACTGTCAATTTCTGTGTCTGACAGGATCACGAGGAAAGAATGAAACTGAGGTCAGCCCGTGGCTGACTCCTGTCTACATGATGTGACCTTTGAGGCAATGAATGTGTGAGGACTTCAGAGCACCTGACTAGGGCAGTCCCTTTCCTGTTGGACACTCGAAGCCAGAGTGATGCTGGCCCTAGGCAGAATTTCCTATGTTGGGTTTAGGCAGGGTTTCCCACAGTTGGCATTAGCAAGGTCTAGGCACGATTGCTCTTGGGTAGGGTGACCTGGGTGCTGTTCCAGTGTTGGCTTCCACTTACTGAATGACCACTGCACCCCCTCCCAAGTTATAAAGTCATAACAACCCAGGTATTGTCAAGTGGCCTTAGAGGTCGATCGCACCCTTTAGAGCCCTGATCCAGTTCTCAGGTTGGCAACTCTTCTTTCTTTCCATTTCTGCCCTGTCTTGTCTACAGGTGGGTGGGCTTTGAGCATGCTGGCTTTCAAGGGCAACAGTACGTGCTGGAGAGGGGCGAGTACCCGGCCTGGGATGCCTGGAGTGGCAACACAGCCTACCCTGCTGAGAGGCTTACCTCCTTCCGGCCTGTGGCCTGTGCTGTGAGTCCTACTGCCTGCACCGGGGTGACCAGAGCCCAGTTCATGGACACTTGGGAAGATGATATCCAAACTCAAGCTTACATCCATCATCTAGAGAGTGATGTGGTGGTTTCTCTCTTCTGTGACCTTAGGGTTCTGTAATTTGACATAAAGCGATAGTACGCATGCTGTGGCTATACCCCAACATGAAACCGCAGCCTGTAGCAATTTTGGTTATGGTGGGAGCCCTTTTGTGTGGTATTTCCCGCTTTTCATGGTCCGGGGCCCCTGGGAAAGCTGGGTGCCAGGAAAGGCAGAACTGGCCAGGAGGCTAGGTCCTATGTATTGTCCCCAACTCACCTCCATTGCTGCTGTTGATGGAGCACTGATGGAGACAGGCGTTGTTCTCCTTTCCCAAAGATGGAAAGGAGATATGGTTGGCTCAGTGTTACAGCTGTGGGGAAATGGCACCTCAGAAACACTGTGTGGTGTACCTGAGCTTAGCAAGCTGGCAAAGGGCAGAAGTCTAACCCAAATATTCATACGTTTCTTATAACACAACACCCTATTTTCCTGCCTGGTCTCCTGCTATGGGACACTTAGATCAGTTATGGTGGACATCCTTGTAGTTTGTTCTGTCCTTGATCTTTTGGAAGGGCAGATGCTATGAAGGACAGATCTTGCAAAGTTTCCTGTTGCCAGTCTCAGAGCTCTGGACAAAAGGCTGACTTGGGAGACAAAGGCTGAGTGAGGGGCAGTGGCTCCAGTGTGTCCAGTCTGGCGCCTGGTGGTCTGACCAAGCTCTCTGTTATCTGTAGAACCACCGTGACTCTAGGCTGACCATCTTTGAGCAGGAGAACTTCCTCGGCAGGAAAGGCGAACTGAGCGATGACTACCCCTCTCTGCAGGCCATGGGCTGGGACGGCACTGAAGTGGGCTCCTTCCGTGTTCAATCTGGGGCGTAAGTAGACCCACAGCCCTGGCTAGCAATAAGAGAGATGTGGGCAGGGTTGGGACACGTTCTGTAGAGACTGTGGGCACAGCATGCCAGAGAACATGGAGGCACAGAGGGCACGGCTTGTGACAAGTGGACACCCGGAGCAAGCTGGCTTAGGGACATAGGATATATGTGGGCCTCTGTGATCAGCTTCAGTCACAGCTGGATCCAGAAGCTGCTGGAATCTGCCTTTCTCCCAATCTCACTCCCCCGGCTCTATTCTTAAACTAGCTCTTCCCCAATGCAAAGACAGAGAGACTTTGGCCTTACGCTTGAGTACTCCTAGCAGGAGTGATAATATTTGCCTTACTCCAGCTAAGTTTCTAGAAAAAGAAAATATTGGCCCAGCTTGGGTCATGTGCTCCCTTCTGAACCAATCACCACGTCCAAATGAATGGGATGCTCTGATTGGATGGCTAGGGTCACATGTTTTTTGAGACTTTTGCTTCAGTTTCCCTGCCTTGACTGGGACTGAGAGGGAGACCTGGTGCGTGAGCAGAAGTCTCTTTCTCCTAGGTGCTTGGCTCTTGCAGGCAAGGATGAAGGCGGGAAGCTGAGCTTTTGTTCAGATAGCAAGGAACCAGATTCAGGTTGTGTTTCAATATGGCTGACACTGTTCTCTGCATGATTCTCTGTTCTGGAGAGAGCACAGTGGAGGCTTGGGGAACCCAAGTCAGGAATCCATGTTGTGAATAACGCAAGGGCCCGTGTCTTGGAACAACTATGAGAAAGGGCTGGACAAAGAAAGACTTCCTGTCTATCTCCTTTCCTTCTTTATGCACTGGCTCCTCTATGCACAATGTCTGCACGGGGAGACTAGTTCCAGGCCTCCTACACCAGGGCTTACTCTAGGGAAGGCAGCTTCTCATAAAATCTTAATCTTAAAACTCTTCAGTTTTATCCCTATTCCGGAAGGACAACCACGGCTTGGAGGAGACAGGTGGATGGATAGTTTTGAGGGAGACCATATACTGTGACCCTGAAAAGTGGCTGGAAGGGTGTTTTTGTACCGGGGAACAACAGCAATGAGGGAAAGAGAGAGCTCCCGCACACACATGTGTAGTACAGGACCACAAAGCCAACCTGGCTGGTTGGGCTTTTCCATGCATTGCTGCCTGACTCGGTTTGGGCCTCAGAGGCCCTGTGTGATAGTCATCTCTTCTGTTTCCCAGGTGGGTTTGTTCCCAGTTTCCTGGCTACCGAGGTTTTCAGTACGTACTGGAGAGTGATCACCACTCGGGTGACTACAAGCACTTCAGGGAGTGGGGCTCCCACGCTCACACCTTCCAGGTGCAGAGTGTGCGCAGGATCCAGCAGTGAGCACTACGCACAGGTGCGCTGGGGGGCCTTTGTGAATGACGGAGTGACCTGCTGGAGATGTGGCTGCTCTTGGCTACCCCCATGCCTCCTGCGAACCTTGCATCACTGTCAGCCAGCCCATGCCCCAGCAGCTCATGAAGCTCAAAGAAATAAACTTAAAAACAGAAGGCTCGGTATCTGTTGTGCTTTTTACTTGCCTTCCTGAAGCAGCAATCTATAGCTTTATAAAATTTCTGTTATTTGTCTGGGTTTGAGGTTTATTTTTATCATCTCCCCCATGTGTGTGCGTGTGTGTGTGTGCATACCCACACCTGTGTTTGTGATCACTGTGTATGCAGAAGAAGGCTTCTATCCCTTGGAACTGGGTTACAGGCGATTGTGAGGGGCTGGATGTGGCAGATCCTGTTCGCATGCTAGAGCAGCAAGGCCTGCCAGCTGCTGAATCCTCTCTAGCCCTATTGTCTTTTTTTACTGATTTAGACTTTAATTTTTTATTTTATTTTATGTGTCTGGGTGTCTTACCTACATGTAGGTCTATGCACCACCCGTATGCAGTGCCCATAGTGGGCAGAAGAGGGCATCAGGTCCCCAGAGACTGGTTGTGGGCCTCCATGTCTGTGCTGGGACTTGAAGCCGCCTCCTCTGGGAAGATCCTGGTCAGTGGGCACTCACACACTCTGTAAGCAGTTGCAGTCAGACCAGAGAAAGGCTCTTTGCCACCCCTCCGAGCCTGACCCAATGGGTGGCTTTGACCCTTCCGTGGTGTGAGGCATTTGTGTTTTACAGATCCAGGCCCTTGTCAACAATACACATTCAGAGCTTCCTCAGTTCACTGCGAGGGAGGGTCCCAGTCAAACCCAGAGCTCCCAGATAAAGCTCATCTTTGCTCTCTTGACTTGGCCTTCCCTTTCCACAGGCTCCCACACCCACTCAGCATTATATGGGTTCTGACGATCTGAATTTTGAACCTCATGCTTTTGTGGCAAGTGCCTAGCCATTGAGTGTTCCACTTTTTGAGAATGTCACTATGTAGCCCAGGCTGCCCTAGGGCCACCATCATCTTGGGTTTTGCTAGGATTTAGTCGTAAAACATTCTGCTTGTTTTCTGTGTGTAAATTATAGGAATTGGACTAACATCCCAGGCATGCGAGGCCAGTGGTTTACCCCTGAGCTGTAACCCAGCCCCATCTTGCCCTGTCTTGTCTACATCTTCCTCCCCTAAGAATTTTGATAAACCAAGTAAAGCAGTACATGCCTGTTGGGATCAGCCCTCAAGAGATCGAGGCTAGCCTGGATTATACAGTCAGTGTGAGGCTCAGAGAGGTTAGGGAATTTTCCTGAGGCCACCCAGCTTATAAGATCATTTAGCCCTCTGTGGGTCATGCAAAGTTTTGGGGCATGATGCAGAGATAAAGGGGATCAAATGAGGCTTGTAAACAGTAAGGTTGATGGTTTATGTTTTCCCCTAAGAGTTGAGAAAGTCAGGGCTGGAGAGATGGCTCAGAGGTTAAAAGCACTGACCGCTCTTCCAGAGGTCCTGAGTTCAATTCCCAGCAACCACATGGTGGCTCACAGCCATCTATAATGAGATCTGGTGCCCTCTTCTGGCATGTAAGCATACATGGAAGGAATAGTGTATACATAATAAATAAATAAATCTTTAAAAAAAAGAGTTGAGAAAGTCATCCTCACACATTTTTACAAGTAACTGTGTAGCCTCTTATATGTCATAGAAAAGCCGTATGCCTCTGGGAGCAAGGAAGGGAATATTGGTGGAAGGAAAAAAGGGAGGGCGAGAGAGGTCACTGGATTTTGATACCTCTATAAGAGCCAGCTCAAGCCAGGAGGGAGGCTGGCATCTGTATTAAAATATAAGACAGTTCCAGGTGTGAGGTTGTGTTGGAGTGACAGAGAAGAAAACAGTTGGCCCAGCAGGGCAACCTTGGGAGGGATCAGAGAGCTTGAGATTCTTTAAATCTTCCCAGAGGCAGTTTTCCAAGATTATAAAAGAAAGGCAGTTAAAGTGTTGATGTTATCTGGACCAAAGCAACCTGCAGGCAGTAGACACCTGCCACTGCAAACACTGCTTAGCAGAGAGGACTGACCACAGGGGTCAGGATGGAGGAGCCACAAACCAGTGAAATCTCGGCCCAGAGAGGGCAAAAGACTGCCTCCGGGTGACCTGGTGGAATGCACCTGTGCCTCTGCCCTCTGTCCTTTGTGGCCTCCTTCTGGCTACTTACATCTCCCCAGAAGCATTCACATCAGAGGCTGGATGTTGGGTGGCGCTGGATGCTGGGCGGCGCTGGATGCTGGGCCAGCGCTGGTTAGACCAGGTGGCCTCTAGCAGCTACTCTTCCTTGCCAAGCCCTGGGCTTCCTTCCCCCTAAAGGCACAGTATAGAGGTCCAGGGATGGATACAGAGAAAATATTTTAAAAATATGCCATGAAAGTAAGAAAAACATGTGTTTCTTGGTATTCTCTTCCCTCACTGGTCTCCTATCAGTGGCTCCTCCCACTGCTGCTCTGAGCCAGTGCAGAGTAAAGATCAGAGAGCAGGCTTCAATGGCACTAGAGGGTCAGGAAGGAACCTCTACCGCTTGAGTGTGGGAGAGGGTGGACATTGTTGTTCGATGCTCTTCCCAGGGAACCCTGAACAAATGATCACATACCCCAGACAGGGACTCAACGATGAACCAAAGTTCTGATAGCATTAAAATCAGACTGGTGTCACTTACAGGAGCAAAAATGACTCCAAGGCAGCTGTGTCACCAAAGCCCATCCCAGCACAGGTGACAGCTCACAAAGTTGGGAACCTGGAGCACAGTGCACAGTCTGCAGGCTGCTAAACAGCTCAAGAGTGTCCTTTCCTGGTGCCTCAGATGGTCTGAGCATCTTGGGAAGGGAGGGGCCTAGTGAAGCTGCTTCTCCGTTTCAGGGACTTCCTGAAGCTGTTTTGAGTTGTTTCCTTCTTGAGCCCAAGGGACTTCTCTGCAGGATGGAGTAAAGAGCCTCCCTCTGAGATGGAAGGTTCTTACCTTAGAGGGACCTGCCGCACAGCAGGAAGAGTGGGGAGGGGAAGAGGAAGGGGAAGGAGGAAGGAGGGGGAAGAAGAAGAAGAGAGAGAGAAAGGCAAAGAGTAGTAGTAGGAGGAGTGGTGGAGCCTTCCTCCCCCCCAGTGCTGTTGTCTCCCGTCTTCCCCAAGAAGGAGCCGTGCACTATGTAGCTCCTCACTTACAGGACCACCCTCCTTCCGGGACCAGAACCACCAGATTAATGGGCAGGAAACCACAGGTGGGTGGGGCCTCCCTTTCCTGCCCACCCGTGGCTGTTCTGATCCATGCTTTAGGGAGGGACATCAGGGGAGCAACAGAAGGGCCACAGGCATCTGTGCCTCTGAGGGAGAGGCTCTATCCTTGCATGCTGTATTGGTCAGGGTTCCCTAGAGTAACGGAACTTGTAGAATGAATCTCTATCTGGATTTACAGGCTGAGGACAGCTAGTCCAACAATGGCTGCCTATGTACAGAAAGTCCAAGAATCCAGCCGTCCATGAGGCTGGATGTCTCAGCTGGCGTTCATTATACACCGGGATCTTGATTCTAGTGAACCCCAATTCTAGTGAAGGAATGGACTTGCTAGCGAGGAAGCAGGAAAAGAGAGAGCAAGCTTCCTTCTTCCACACCCTTTGCAGAGGCTGCCAGCAGAAGGTGTGGCCCAGGTTAGAGGTAGATTTCCCTATCCCAAAAGATCTGGCTTGGAAGTAGATCTTCCCACTTTAAATGTCCCTTTGAAAGACCCTCAGAGAGGACCTTTCCTCTGATGATGAAGACCCCCAGAACCAGGACACTCAGAGACCAAACCACAGGATGCAATTAGCAAGAGGTTTATTGAGTAGACACAGGTACCTGCGGGCGGCAAGATCTCTTGGAAGACTTGCGCGCCTGCCAACTGGAGGGCGGGCTTTTTATAGGGAAGAGCAAAAAGCAAGTTTACAGAAGCAAAAGTGTGGTTATTGGAATGAGGCGGGGGGCATGAATGGTTTCCTCTCTCAGCATGGATGTCTGGCAACAGTCATCCTGTTCCTATCTTATAGATATCCTGTTTTGCAGTCAACCTGCTTTGTTGATGTCCTATCTTATCGATATCCTGCCTTGCAGTCTTCCTAACTCATAGACATCCTGCTCTCTCAAGCACATGAGATGTTCTTACGAGAGCAGGCTGGCTGCTGATCCAGAGAATTTTTTTTTTTTGGTTTTTTTTTTTTTTTTCGAGACAGGGTTTCTCTGTGGCTTTGGAGCCTGTCCTGGAACTAGCTCTGTAGACCAGGCTGGCCTTGAACTCACAGAGATCCACCTGCCTCTGCCTCCTGAGTGCTGGGATTAAAGGCGTGCGCCACCACTGCCGGGCCAGAGAATTTTTTTTTTAAGCAAACAGGAAGTTCCCCCGGGAGCATGCTAGCTGCGGGTTTTGAGGAGGAGGTCTGTAGGGTCTTTCACCTTGTGGGTGTGCCCAGCCATTTTTGGGTTTTAGTTAATTCCAGATGTAGTCAAATGGACAGCTTGAGCAGCTAACACACGTGTGTCCACCCAACAGGTGCTAGGCTTGGATTTCTTGCGACATTTAAAATTCTGTTGACATTTTCCAACCCTGACTTTACTTCCCTAGTCCCCACCCTTGTAGCTTCCATTGTGGGAGGGCAGGTGTCCCTACTTCTGCCTGGAGCTCACAGTCTCAGCCATAAATACCACGATCTTCGCCACCCTGTCCTCTTGTCCCTTACTCAGGTGGGAAAACTGAGGCCGACTAAAGCACACTGATGTGCTCAAACCCACACGGAGGACCGGGCACCCCATTCTCTCCAAGCACCCCTTCCTCTTTGTGAGCATGCTGGGCACCTTGAGCCAGCCAGGTGGGGACGTTTTAAAACTTATTATTACACTTAAAAATGTGTTACCACTATTCGTGTGTGTGTACACGCACACACATGTGCCTCGGTTG